TTTGAAAGATGGTTTGCTACTCGCAAGTAGGCTTAAAATGCAGATTTTGCCACCCGCAGGTGGGCTTAGAAAACAATGGTTTTGCCACTATCTAGTGGGCTTAAAACAAATAGTTAATGATTTATTCCAATCCAGATAACTCAACCTTCACCCACAGGCATTCAGGCAGTTATATCACATAAGCATATTGCCTCATGGTAAGCATGCTATTCATGGCAGTCACTCACACGCATGCAAGGATGCTAAAGCATAAAGCTCACCGGGTACTCCAAGCCAAAACAGAATTTACATTAGAAATCATGCATGAATCCTAAGTATACAGAATTACCTAATGCAACACATGCAAGAATGCAAACTATAGCAGGCTCGGCTATTCTAAACATGGCATATGGAATGCTACAGCTAACATGTATTCAATTTAGAATTGAAAAATACAATGCAGTTAGTATGATGCGCCGAGCCCGGTGCATGCAAAACAGATGAATGAATGCAAACATGCTATCATACTGTATGCTAATTTAAACATGCCCTAATCTAACCATCAAAAGCGGATAAATAAAAGGGAGAAAGACGTGGGGTTGGAAGACATACAACACACACACGCACACTTATTACAATTATGCCCTCGCACAGAGGGTCCGAATAAATAATACAGTCCCGAATAAAAGAATAGTACAGTCGAAATGTTACAGTCCGAATAATATACAAATTCCTAATTAATTAATGAATTAACTAAGAAAGCTGTAAAACTGGCATGCAAGCCAGGGACTGCCTTGCTCCTGATGAATGACGCATGTCCGGGTTGTCTTGCGCGAAAATCCACCGGGATGCCCCAATTAGCCTCTGTTTAGCAGTTATTCTTGGAAAACGTGCCAGACTCCGAAAAGTTGCTGATTCTTTATTTTGCTGCAACAGAGAGCAGGAAAGGGGCATGGCAATGTATTTTCACAGATATATGCATGCCTCGATCCTCGTGCCACCAATCACGCATACCGATGCATGATGGCCGAGGAGTCGAAATGTGCAACTCAATATAGAATGAATGCACGTGTAAACACAACAAGAACCTAGCTCCATCATGGATGATCCGGAGTGTCGGTGACTTGGAATTGAGAACACATTCCGTCACTCAGAGTACGAAATGCACCTCGTTTCCCGTGCCCGAGCTAACTCCTATCCCGAACACGATGCAATATGCATGACATGCATAACGCATACGCAATGCAATATGGCTAAAATGGCATATAGAATGCAACATGACTTATACTAACATGAGAGAGCCTCATCCACACTCACATAAGAGGCCGATGGATGAAAATGGGATGCCTCGAAATGCGTGCACACGGGCACGCAAATCGAGAAAATGACATACGCAATGCAAATGACATGGAAATAGGATATGGGCTTACACCAACATGAGAGAGCCTCAGCTACACTCACATAAGAGGCTGATGAATGCAAATGAAGTGCCTCGAAATCCGTGCACACGGGCACGCGAACCGAGACAATGGCATACGCAATGCAATATGGCTAAAATGGCATATAGAATGCAACATGGACTTATACTAACATGAGAGAGCCTCAGCCACACTCACATAAGATGCCGATGGAAAAAAATGAAGTGCCTCGAAATGCGTGCACACGGGCACGCAAACCGAGGCGATGGCATATGCAATGCAAATGCATGGAAAATGATATGCAAACATGTTAATGGATTTTCAGCAATGAAATGTGGGGGAAAACAGTCCCGAAATGAGGCGAGAACACACCCGATGCATGGAATCTCTCCCGAAATGCAAATTAGGCGCATAGAATGAACTACAGCTATACAAAGCATGCATAATTGGTACATGAGATGAAAAGACAGAAGCAAGGCAGCCTCAAAATAATCATTTTTACAGTACAAATTATGGCCAAACAGCAAGCAAAGATAAGGCAACAATGGCATGCAAAAATGGCCCTAAACATGAGATTATGAAGCAACTCACAGCTGCTAACTCCAAATAGGTTAGGACCCTTCAACAACATTGAAGAGGGGCCAAAAATAAGCCACTTTACAGAACTATAAAAACCCTAAAAACAAACATAGATATGGCTAAGCTTTTATGCAAGAAAAAGGGCCAAAAGGTGGCCAAAGAGGCAAGTGGTATATGCACAGCCCAAACTGAAAAATTCCCTTCTACAACATTGAAGAGGGACCAAAAATAAGCATATTTACAGAACTGTAAAAACTCCAAAACAGTATACAAACATGCTAGAAATGCAATGCAAAAATGAGGCTCAAAAGGTGGCTATAACACAAAGTATACAAAATATTCATCAAACAGCCAAAGACCCTTAATGAAACATGTTAAGAAGGTCAAAATAAGACTATTTCTAGGCCTATAAAAAGACCAAAAACAGAAGCATGATAGGCTGCCAAAGCATGCAAGAAAAGGGGACCAAAGAGGGATATTGAAGCAAGTGCAATATGGAGGGCTCAAACAGGGTTGAGCCCTTAATGAAACAAGAAAATGACCTCAAAAAAATGGCCTTTTCAGTTTTGGTCGGAGCTCAAATCAATAAGCATGTATGGCTAAGAAATGGTGCAAGAAATGGACCAAAAAGGGGGAAATGCTACTCACCCTTGAAGACCAATGCTTTTGTTGCTTCTTGGACCAACTTTGATGACTCTAAGCTACTGGAGTTCCTCCTCTTGCTGCTGAAATGGAGTGGTGATGGTAGAGCTTGAAGATGATGAAGAAATGGAGCCCAAAACTTGAAGGAAATGGGGTGATATGTATGTATATGCTCCAACCAATCCTTCTAACCCTCTTTCTTGAGTTGGGAGACCAGCCCTCTATGCAAGAGAGGGAGAGAAAACCTTAGGCCAAAGTGAAGGGAATTGAGGCTCTTGTTCCCCCACAAAATATCCCCCGGATATAGATATTTTCTGGGGGAAACAGCTGTACAGCTGTACAGTGCTGCAGAGAGAGGACATGGCCGCCATTATTTTTGTTTGCAAGGTGGCCGCCGGCCCCACCACTACCGGCGGCCAGGGTCAAAAAGGCCAAGTGGCTTAGTGCCGCACTCAATATTGGTGGCCTCTCAGGTCCCTCTTCACAACCCTGTGGTCCGAATTTGACTCTAAAAACAGGAGAGAAGAACAAGCCAAATTTGGAGGAGGGGTTCAAGGTTCACAATGCGAATTATGGCCGGCCATAAATTCTTTAAGGGTTTCCTACCCATGTGTGTATCAACAATATGTGGTAAAGTTCAAGAAAGTGACCAAGGGTGTCAACCATTAGCTCGGAATGAGGGGTTTCAACAGGGTCAGGAAACTTAGCTGGCCGGATGAACTTTAGGGTCCTCCTGTGTGTACATCACAAATATGTGGTTTGGGTTTGAAGAAAATGGCTCCAAGGTGTTCAACATTGGCTCGGAAGTGCGAAAAACGGGTGTCGGAGGGCGAAAATGGAACATAACTGGTTGCCAAGATAATTGCTGGCCTCCCACCCTTCTACGGCCTTCCCGGTGATAAAACAGAGGTGCCTGCAAAAAATGAACGAAAACCCATGCAAAACGAATGCTCGAGGCTCAAAACACGCAGTTCGGGGTCCCGAAAATGGGCTGTTAAGCACCGAAAGTGGCATTCGGCCATGAAGTGGGTTTCTCTGACCCCCAGTGTCCCTTGAAATGGAGAAAATAAGATGTATGCCAAAAATCAGAGCAAATGGAGATGGTTAAGCGGTCCCGAACCGGGGCACACGGCCAACAGTCCCGAAAAACCGGAAACCGGACTCCGAAATGGGCAAAATGGCCTGCGGCCACAAAATGTAGCCCACGGCCACTGAGAGATGGTCTACGGGACCTCTCCCTCCCCTCGGGAAAAGAAACAGAGAAAACTGAGTCTGGTTCGCAAACCGAGACAAGGCACAGAAAAGGGTTCGGAAATCCGAAGGCAGGGCTTACGGCCGCGACTCTGAGACTTCTGAACGAGCACGATATGCAACGTCACCGAGCGCTCAATCGGTGATGTCTGAGTCTTAAGGTTGGTCAAAAATGGGGTGTCTACATATACCAGAACACATGTACGAGGGTCGGGTTATTACACTCTCCCCTCCTTAAATAAGTTTGGTCCCTCAAACTTGTTTTACCTTAGGATAGAAACAGATGCGGATACTGGTGTTGCATTTCTTCTTCTTTTTCCCAAGTAACGTCGGTTCCGTAATGTTCCTGCCATTCAATTTTTACCATTGGTATTTCCCAGTTCCGTAATTGTTTCACTTGTAGATCTAGAATTTGAATTGGCTTTTCCTCATAAGCTAACTTATCATCCAGAACGATCTGATGGAAATCAATGACATGAGACCGGTCCGGAAGGTACCCTTGAAGCATAGATATATGGAATACATTATGTACTTGACTCATACTTGGCGGAAGAGCAACTCGGTAACCTACGGGACCCACTTTCTCCAGAATTTGAAATGGACCAACATATCGGGGTGTTAACTTAGCCCTTTTACCGAATCTCAAATGTCCTTTCATCGGAGTAACTTTCACAAAAACATAACTACCCACCTCAAACTCCAAATCTCTCCGTCGATTATCCGCATAGCTCTTCTGTCTGCTTTGAGAAGCTTTTAATCTTTCCCGAATAGTTTTAATCTTTTCAGTTGTCAGCTGAACAATTTCGGGCCCTAATAATGGTTTATCCCCAACTTCAGCCCAACACATAGGGGAATGACATGGTCTTCCATAAAGAGCCTCATAGGGCGCCATCCCAATACTCGAATGGTAGCTGTTATTATATGCAAACTCTACTAACGGTAGGTGAGTTTCCCAACTTCCCTGAAAATCCAAAACACACATTCGAAGCATATCTTCTAGTGTCTGCATTGTTCTCTCAGATTGTCCATTTGACTGAGGATGGAAAGCTGTACTAAAATTTAATTATGTACCCATTGCTCCCTGTAGACTTTGCCAAAATCTAGATACAAACTTTGGATCTCTATCCGATACTATGGAACTGGAACACCGTGGAGTCTCACTATTTCATTCACATAGATTACAGCAAGTTTGTCCGCATTATACTGAGTTTTCACGGGTAGAAAATGGGCAGATTTAGTTAACCGGTCTACAATGACCCATACAGAATTCATATCCCGAGGAGTCTGTGGTAACCCTACAACAAAGTTCATGGTCAGATGTTCCCACTTCCATTTCGGGATTGGAAGGGGTTGCAATAATCCTGCCAGTCTTTGATGCTCTGCTTTTACTTGCTGACATTGAAAACATATGGAGACGAAATCTGCGATTTCCTTTTTCATACTTGGCCACTAAAAATTTTGTTTTAAATCCCGATACATCTTAGTACTCCCAGGATGCAGTGATAATCTCGAGGCATGTGCTTCTTCCATTAATTTCTACCTAATTCCTAACACATTGGGAACATATATTCTGCCTTGGAATTTAAGTACTGAATTCATCAAATTGAATCCTGGTATCAGTTTTGTCTCTAGCTCATCACATATCCTCTTCAAACTTTCATCCTCCATCTGACATAGTTTAATCTCTTCAATTAATGTCGGTTGAGCCATCACTGCTGCTACTATGGCTTCTCGTTCATACATCACAAGGTCCAAACTCATTTTATCTAATTCAGCCAATAACTCTCTTTGTTCCGTAAGTAAATTTGCCATATTCCCCGTGCCCTTCCGACTTAGTGCATCTGCAACTATATTGGCTTTACAAGGATGGTAATGGATCTGCAAATCATAATCTTTAATAAGTTCCAACCATCGTCGCTATCACATATTCAACTCCTTTTGCGTAAAAAGGTACTTGAGGCTCTTATGATCAGTATAAAATTCACAGGTAGTCCCATACAGATAGTCCCGCCATATCTTCAAAGCAAAAACCACTGCTGCTAGCTCAAGATCATGTGTGGGATAATTCTTTTCATGGGGTTTGAGCTGATGGGAAGCATAGGCAATGACTCTCCCATTTTGCATAAGTACACAACCAAGTCCTTTATAAGAAGCGTCACTGTAGATCACAAATCCTTCGGTACCAGATGGTAAGGCAAGAACTGGTGCCGTAGTTAACTTCGTTTTTAATTCTCGGAAGGTAGATTCCTGCGGTTCTGACCAGTCAAACACAACTCCCTTTTGACTCAATTGTGTAAGCGGTACAGCGATTTTGGAAAAATCTTGAACAAACCCCATGTAATACCCGGCTAATCCCATAAAACTACGCACCTCGGTCAGATTGGTAGGAGTTAGCCAATTCACGATTGCCTCAATTTTGTGCGGATCAACAGAAACTCCTTCCTTTGTTATCACATGCCCCAAGAATGCTACCTCATGTAGCTAGAATTCACATTTCTTCAGCTTGGCATACAATTTCTTTTCTCGGAGTGTTTGAAGAATTAAGTGAAGATGATTCTCATGAACTTCTGCGTTCTTCGAGTAAATGAGGATGTCGTCGATGAATACTACTACAAAATCATCCAAATAGGGCTTGAAGACATGATTCATCAAGTCCATAAACGCTGCTGGTGCGTTAGTAACTCCAAAGGGCATACCCAAAAATTCATAATGTCCATATCGGGTTCGAAAAGATGTCTTCTCAACATCCTCAGCTTTAACCTTCAGTTGATGATATCCAGATCGCAAATCAATCTTTGAAAAGACTTGTGCCCCTTGTAACTGGTCAAACAAATCATCGATTTGCGGCAATGGGTACTTATTCTTGATTGTTATCTTATTAAGTTCCCTGTAATCTATACACAATCGGAGTGTTCCATCTTTCTTTTTCACAAACAACACCAGTGCACCCCACGGTGAAGTGCTAGGTCTGACAAATCCCTTGTCAAACAGGTCTTGTAACTGTTCTTTTAATTCTTTCATTTCAACTGTAGCCATTCTGTAGGGGGTTTTAGAAATAGGCTAGGTGCCTGATACAGTTTCAATAGTGAATTCTATCTCCCTGTCCACCAATTCCCCTGCTAGTTCATTTGGAAACACATCTGGAAATTCTCTAACAATAGGGATATCATTTAATTCAGCATTTACAGATTGTTCAGACAACACATAGCACAAATAACCCTAACACCCTTTCCTGATCAATTTACATGCTTTCAATGCAGATATCAAATAAGGTGGAGGCACTACCCCGTTACCCACAAACACAATTTCCTCTTGTTCTGGTGGCCTAAACACAACTCGTTTTGTCACACAAGTACTTTAACCAGACTATGAAAGGAGGGATTTGTTGAATATAATACCCCCCAGCAATGAGGAAGACAAGGGTTGTAACTGAGGCTAAAGTAGTGGCTTGTTTAACATCCATGAGTATTGCACCAATAGCTAAACCAAGACTTTGTGCAACAAGGACATTGTAAAGGACAACAAGAAGGGAAAGGATGAAAGTGACAGGATTGGGCTTGAGCCCACCCATCCAATAGATTATGAAGGTAAATGCAGTTGGAAGTGCGAGCTCCAGTGGCAAGTCTCCAAAGGTTCTGGCTAAGAAGTAGGAGGAGAGGCGATACATTCCAGATGAACGTTCCTTCATTAGCATAGATCTTTCTTGGGGAAATGTGAAAACAGCATTGTATAAAGGGTAGAAGCCCCAGAACACGGAGAAGAAGAAAAGCATGGCAATCTGTAGTCAGGAAAAAACCCTTGTTTAGCATCCACACGAAATCAAGATTCTAAACTTAATGACATAAGACAGTTCCTGCCCTGTTTAAAACAACAATGGATCTTCTAAGTGATCCTTTACTTTTGTTTTCTTTTCTGTATTTTATCTTTTCCTTGAAAGCTTTCCCAAAGTTTTTAAGTTTGAGAAATGATATGGGAGGAATTATTGATTTTCTGCTCATGGAAAATTTTGAAGTGGTGCGATATTGAAGTGAAATGTCTAAACTAGTCATAAATTTTCAAGTGGATGAGAAAGAAAGTATTCCTCGGAGTGACACCCCAGGTTCCAAACCCAGGAGTCAACATTCCCATACGAGCATTTGGTACATATATCAATCCAAAGAAGAGTGAAGGGATCACCACTATTGAGGATCTCCCCCCCTAACCTTAGATAGGCCGTCTGAGGGTTCGCTGTGGTTCATTGCTGTGCTTACACACTAGGCTACCCTTAGCTCACCTACCACATTATGTCTGTGTTTGGATCTTAGATTTGAGAAGGGATTTGTGGAAGGAAAGGAAAAGACAAGGGAAAAGTGTGCAAATTTCTTTTCCCTCCACAAATTTCTCCACATATGCAAGATCCAAACATAGCTTTAATGTAAGTAACCCTTTCATATTTTTTTATAGAAATAGTGTATGTGTATGCAAAATTCTTACACGATCTTCAATGTGGGATGTCGGCGTGTGCCACCAAAGGAGTCCACCAAGTATAGCAACACTTATGACTTGGAAGATTCTTAGCTTGTTGAAGGCTTCATATCTCCGCTCCCTCAGCCCCCTCATAATCAGCACCTTGAATTGATGCCACCAACTTGTACACCATTGCTCTGACTTCACATTTTTTCCTGCATCATTTCAAAACCAAAAGACACTTGAGACTAGTAAAAAAATTAGGAAAATGAGTAGAACAGAGGAGACATTTGAAACTAACATGCTGCTTCTCTTACTATAAAAGTTGAGGGATTATGAAAGCATTTGACTTACTAGGGGATGCATCTTTTGTGTAATTGTAGTTATTGACTTCCAAACTGCATAATTCGGCTTTCAATCTGGGGGAAATGTTCTTGTCATAAGCAGAGATGAGAACATCCCTCACTAACTTCTGCTCTTGTTCTGTACTATGTCCTTGCTCAATTGTATGCTTGTCAACAGGTCCAATTCCTGTAAATTTTTGTTTTTCACGATATTCATGAGAATGTAAATGTAATTTCCGATATCATTTTGTTTCTTAATAAAAGATGTAATAAGTTAGCATATGGTAGCCACTACAATATATATTCCAACTTGTAGTACATAACTATGTTCTTATGTTTCTGGTCTGTGAAATGTTAGTTTTTAGTACAAATTATGCTTAATGAGAGTAGCAGATGACCCTAAACTTCGCTTTTATATACTAAGCTGAACATTGGAAAGTTTGTTGCGTGGGGTCTCATTATACTGCTTTAATATAATTTAAGATAGAACTGTAACCACTACTTTCAGTAGGCCCTCTGATATCTATATCTCATGTGAACGGAAACAAAAGAAAAGGATGGAATAATTGGTCGATAGAGGACAGTTAATCTGCTCATATGGCCTCTCCACTTATAGGCCTAACAGATTTCACAGATTGGCCATAGGCCTGATATCATCAAAGCAGACTAGTTTCAGAGTCATACAGAGGTGCACAGATTCCTTCAATCGTTCATATAAATTAACACAGTTAATTTGTGATTAACAGAGTGCTAATAATAATTATTAGCGATAAGTAAAGCGTACTACTACTCACAATGCTGTGGTGGAGTGGCAGTTGCTTCCGGTAGGTGCCCTACATACACACATAGTTCAAGAATTAGTTCATTTTCTTTTTAACCATCTTCTGATTCATTTCGTTTCAAATGAATTTATGAACATTTTAAGGGCATCAAATAATTATTTTAGTAATATCAGAGGGTCAAACACGTAAAATGGAGCAGACAGATTTTTCCAGCATGGGCCACACGTGCGGCTGTGAGCCCCGCACATGCGGCAATGGTTCCCACACGTGCAGCAGTGAAGCCCCACACGTACCTTTTTTCTAGTAGCCAAAGACCCAAAATCTCCAGTTTTCCGCACGTGCGGCCATGACCTCCGCACGTGCAGCAGTGCTCCCGCACGTGCGGCGATTCTGCCCTGTTTGGTGCAATCCGAAGCAAAACACATTCACAACTAGCTCAACACCACACAAAGTGTAATAGAGAGGAATTTAAGTCAATTAGATGATACGCCATTTCCATAAACATGAATCATAAGGTCATTTAGGTCTTTAATTCCTTCAATTACACATAACCAATTCAATATTCTTATGTTTGTGGTTGTACACAACTTATAAACAATATATATATATGTATATATATAAACATGTAGGTTTCACATGAAAAATCAAAGGTTAGAATGTAAGTCCTCATTATACAACTCAAACTAATTCTCAACACAAGCAAATAACAAATATAACTTCCAATTAAGTGATTATTACCCACAAAATTTCAATCACAAACCCTAATTTTCACAAATGAAAAGGAATTTTTACACATGTTTAAGAAGGAGGCTATTTAAGGTGAATTACACATACCTTGAGCTTAAATTCCTCTAAACCCTCTCAATCCCTCAATCTTCTTCCTTGATGAACTACCCCTCTTCCTCTCTAACTCTCTTGTTCAAATTCTCTCTCAGGAGATGTTTGTATAAGGCTCTAAGTCAAATGTTAAAAAAAAAAACATTGATATATATCTAAAAGGTGAATAAGACAAAAATCAATCAGTTTAATCATTCCAAATCCAAATTTCAAAAAAAATCAAATTATGACCTAACAATCGTGCTGATCTCAAATATAAAATTAATTTTAGATTATGAAGCCTCTTAAGGCGTTCAATTTTTGATCTGATCATTACAACTATAACAGATATTTCTCTTAGGAGACAGATATGAATCTCTAATCATCAAATTTGCTCAATTAAACTTAATTTCACATGAAATTTCACTCTAAGCTTATAAATGCACAGAATAAGGCACTGAAAGTATACCAGAACACATGTATGAGGGTTGGGTTATTATACGCACGGCCTAGGCATTGCCTAGAATGTGCGCGGCCTGGGTAGCATGGCCTAGCGTGCACGCGGCATGGGTGGCCTGGCGTCCGCGCAGCCCGGGTTGCAAGGTCTGGCATGCACGGGGCCTGGGCAGCACGACCTGGCATGCGTGCGGCTTGGGGGGCATGGCATGCGCGCATCCTGGTCAGCACGATCTGGCATGCGCGCGGCGTAGGTGGCTTGGCTTGGGTGCTGCTTGGGCAGTTGGCCTGTGAGGATACCGCGCGCGCGCTCTTTTGACCACAGTGCACGGGTTGCACACACGTTCACGCACGCCTTAGCACGGCTTCGCACACAACGCACGTCTAATGATAACAAGGCCATGTGCAAGGCAGCTGCCAAGGCCACAACCCAGGCAGCAACCAAGGCCGCAGCCAAGGCCACGCAACCAAGGCAGCAGGCAAGGCCCCAGGCCACACAGCCAAGGCCGTAGCCAACGCATGTCTAATGATAACAAGGCCGCAGCCAAGGCCACGTAGCCAAGGCAGCTGGCAAGGCCGCAACCCAGGCCACACAGCCAAGGCCACAGCCCAAGCTTATTTTTTTCAATTTTTATTTATTTGTAAAAATTAAAATAAAATATATAATAAATAAAAAAAATATTTAAAAATTACTATAATTACAAGTTTCTCATCCTTCAATTGTTGGATTAATTTCTACATTTTTTTTTCCATATGTTACTTATTTTCATTATTTTTTAAATATTAAAGTTAAAATAAATTAACATAAACTATATCAGTGCCCAAATTTTTTTTTAATTTTTTTTTGTGGTGGCTTGATTTATTTTCTTTGAGTTATGATTGAAATTTTTTTAAAGAAAATATTACTTTTTAAACAAACCCCATTATAACTCCTCGAGCATGGGTGATGTTTCCTCCTGCTAGATGGAAAAGGGCTTAACAAGCTACTATAAGGGGGGGCACCTCCCTTAAGGCTGGCTAGCATGGCCAGGCCACAGGCCACGCCTATGCCTAGGCTCGTGCTTGGCATATGCCATTGCTTGTCTTGTGGCATTGAAACTCCATAGCCAAGCATGGGATGTTGTTGAGTGGCGGCCTGCGGTAGTGGCGGTGGCCTTGCGCAGCATGCCATGCCACAGCCTTGGCCAGCAGCATGCCATGCCTCGGCCTTGGCCAGCATGCCATGCCATGGCCTTGGCCAGCAGCACGGTATGCCACGACCTTAGCCAGCATGCCATGCCACACAGCCTTGGCTAGATGCATGGCATGCGACGGCATTGGCCAGCAGCATGGCATGCCATAGCCTTGGCCAGCTTGCCATGCCACGGCCTTGGCTAGAAGCATGGCATGCCACGGCCTTGGCCAGAAGCATGGCATGCCACGGCCTTGGCCAGCAGCATGGCATGCCATGTCCCTTAGGTAATTGCCATTAGGTTGGCTTTATCTTACGTACAAGTTGCCTTGTGAAATGCATGTCCCTGGGAAGTTTTCCATTTGGTTGGCTTTGACTTACGAACTAGTTGCCTGTGCTTTCCCAATGGATGCTTTTTGCGAAAAGTTTGTCCCTCGGTAGTTGCTTGATGCCTTTGTTATTTGCATTCGCGCTAACCGGTGCTTGCTCGGCTTCTCTAAATGTTTTCGCACGTTCGTCGGGCTTCTTAGTCCTTCGGGTTGCAATTCGTTTTGGGGGGCTGATGTATAGTGTACGTCGTTGCGCATGAGTTGTGATTGGTTTGTGTGAGTTGGATGGAACCCTGCCTATACAGTGAACTCCACTGGTGCATTTCTCTTCATTCGTGCTTGGAGGCAAAAATTTTCCTTCTGCCTCGCATGGGTTGCTTTGTTACCTATCTAAAGAAAAAGGAATTCGGTCCGAATCGTGTGCCTATATTCGTCTCGCCACCTCGTGGCACTGGGTGAACCTTAAAGTATCTCTTGTGTTTCTTGTTGTCCTCATGTTGCCGTGTCGATAGCATGGCCCACGGGCAGTTATACTCGTGCTCTCGGATTCAAAGCCTTGTGCGGGTACACATGGTCTTTGACCTTCATTTCCCTGCCAAGCATTCGTTGCTCGTTGCAGGCTAGGGCCGTGCATGCCTCTAACCGTGCCGACTCTATCGGTCGGGCTTATGCAGTGCCGGCGTCATAAAAAAAGAATGCTACCTGGTTTATCCTGCCAATAGTAATATACTTGTCTCAAAAATTAAGCCATGCATGTGTAAGTATGAACTAATTCAGACTGTGAAACTGCGAATGGCTCATTAAATCAATTATAGTTTGTTTGATGGTATTTGCTACACGGATAACTGTAGTAATTCTAGAGTCAATATGTGTAACAAACCCCGACTTCCAAAAGGGATGCATTTATTAGATAAAAGGTCGACGCGGGCTATGCCCGTTGCTCTCATGATTCATGATAACTTGATGAATCGTACGGCCTTTGTGCCGGCGACGCATCATTCAAATTTCTGCCCTATCAACTTTCGATGGTAGGATAGTGGCCTACTATGGTGGTGACGGGTGACGGAGAATTAGGGTTCGATTTTGGAGAGGGAGCCTGAGAAACGGCTACCACATCCAAGGAAGGCAGCAGGCACGCAAATTACCCAATCCTAACAATATCGGGCTCTTTGAGTCTGGTAATTGGAATGAGTACAATCTAAATCCCTTAACGAGGAGTACAATCTAAATCCCTTAACGAGGATCCATTGGAGAGCAAATCTGGTGCCAGTAGCTGCGGTAATTCCAGCTCCAATAGCTTATATTTAAGTTGTTGCAGTTAAAAAGCTCGTAGTTAGATTTTTGGGTTGGGTCGACCGGTCCGCCTCAGGTTTGCACTGGTCATCTCGTCCCTTCTGCCGGCGATGCGCTCCTAGTCTTAATTGGCCAGGTTGTGCCTCCGGTGCCATTACTTTGAAGAAAATAGAGTGCTCAAAGCAAGCCTACACTCTGGATACATTAGCATGGGATAACATCATAGGATTTTGATCCTATTACGTTGGCCTTCGGGATCGGAGTAATGATTAACAGGGACAGTCAGGGGCATTCGTATTTCATAGTCAGAGGTGAAATTCTTGGATTTATGAAAGACGAACAACTGTGAAAGCATTTTCCAAGGATGCTTTCATTAATGA